TGTGTTTCATTTTTCATTAAAAATTTGCTTAGATTGGTTCGTTGCCGCCGTGACTATGGTAGCCAAGAATGAAAATTACCTATGATGGCATACCAGCTGTGAAGTAGACAACCCAAGGTATTGCAAACAGGGTATGTCCAATCTTTTTTAGTAGCCACTTAGTCACAAACACTGGCCAAAATTGGTGTTTTTTGCATTTTTCACACACAAACAAATACTAACGCTAACTTTGGCCAGTGTTTGTGACCAAATGGCTACTAAAAAAGACTGGACATACTACATTTGCAATACCTTGGGTTGTCTGCTATTGCAAATGGTATGCCATTATGGGTGTAAATTTCATTCCTGGGCTACTATACAGTCTCAAAGGCAACGTAACCAATCTGGCGAATTTCAATTCCAAATGTAACGTGCTTTATATTTGACCCTGTAACTTCCCAAAACGCCATAAAACCTGTACATAGGGGGTACTGTCTTACACGTGAGACTTTACCGAATACAAATATGTGTATTTTATTGCAGTAAAATCAAAGAGTATTATGACACTGACCTTTAAAATGCAATTTAGAACTAAAAAAATCAAAAAAATCTTATTTTCTCCCATTTTTTTCATATTAAATTATGTTTCATAGCTAAATATTTGATATTAAATGAAAGCCCTGTTTCCCCTGAATAAAATGATATATAATAAGGGTGGGTGCATTTAGTATGAAAGAGGTGTATTACGATTGGACAGACATGTAGCGCTAATGCCAGGTTTTGTTTACATTTTGTTTCGTTCACAACGTGTACATTTGGCTCCGTCCTTAAGGGGTTAAATTAATCACAAATTGAAGGGTTTTGCTTGCTTGAATGGGGCTGATTTTTTGACAGTTAAAAAATTCATATTCAGTCATGTTAAATAAAACTATTGATTTATCCTTTTATTTCTTGTTTTAAACACATCAAATCTGTATAGAAGGAGTCTCAGATTCAAAATACATGGGGCTTGTGGTCAAGTCATCATCACTCATAGGTTTGCAGAGCCCTACTCCCAGATACCCACTTATATAATCACACCCCAGGCCCTAGCACGCACACATATATTTATACTCTCAGATACACACATTGCAAGACACACATTGCCAGACATATACTCTAAAACATGCAGCAATAACCACAAACAAACAATATTAAACTTGCACCCACTGCATTAGCCTCCTCCTCACCCATAGCATTAATCCTACAATTCACTTTTTTTTAACCCCAGATCTCGTGCATTTACCACCATACACAGACCCACACATACACACAGACAGGACTCTCCACTGGGGATCGCGAGCACAGTGTGTGGAAGGAGAGCAGGGATAGGACATTTCATTACATTCTTGTTCTTTCATATATAATGCATCACATAGGTGTGCCAGATCTACAATGGACAGTCCTTTCAAGGGTGCTGCATTAGGGGAATAAAGGATGGATATCAGTCGGACAACTGACAACCAGCCCAAGTGACTGCAACAAGGAGGTTACTTGTTTAAAAATGGCCCATGGGATGGTAGTTTCAGACCATACAACCTAAGAACCATGCAGTAGGCACATTGTCACTCTCAGGCATTATTTCTATATAACCAAATAATAATGATAGGCATCAGGTGTTTAGAGGTAGTATGTTTAAAGGACCACTATAGTGCCAGGAAAACATACTCGTTTTCCTGGAACTATAGTGCCCTGAGGGTGCCCCCACCCTCAGGGCCCACCTCCCGCCGGGCTGGATGGAGAGGAAGGGGTTAAACTTACCTCTTTCTCCACCACCGGGTGGGGAGCTCCTCTCCGCCTCTTCGGCTGAATGCGCATGCGCGGCAAGAGCTGCGAGCGCGCGTTCAGCCAGTCCATAGGAAAGCATTCACAATGCTTTCCTATGGACGCTGGCGTCTTCTCACTGTGAAAATCACAGTGAGAAGCACGCAAGCGCCTCTAGCGGCTGCCAATGAGACAGCCACTAGAGGCTGGATTAACCCTAATATAAACATAGCAGTTTCTCTGAAACTGCTATGTTTATAAAAAAAAAAAAGGGTTAAGCCTAGCTGGACCTGGCACCCAGACCACTTCATTAAGCTGAAGTGGTCTGGGTGCCTATAGTGGTCTTTTAAAGCAACACTCCAAGTACCATAGGGCGTTGTAGTGTTTATGGTGATAGGAGCGCCCTGGACCTCTCCACACATTGTATGTAGGGACCCCATTATAAGTAATTTAAAACTAATTTAAAACTACACTTCTTATAGAGTGGTGTCCATAAAACTCAAGGTAAGAATTAAACTATGACAGCCGACAATGGTCGGGTTAACAGGGCTCTCTGGCACCATAACCACTGCATTGGTCATAGTGCAGCACCTCAATAGGTATCACAGTGACATACTTTTGGGTATAAGGAGTACAGTATTCCTAAGTCATTCATTGGACATACACACCAGTGATGGGCCACAAATGCAGGCATTGGCCATTCACCTTTTAGAGCAATATTTACTTTGTTTCTGGAACTGCTGTTCAGGAATGCCCTGAGTAGGCACTTGTTCCTCTGTCCAAAGGTGGAGCTAACAGAAGCAAAATAAAATCTCCCAAGCTGTCTGACAGCGAGGAAGATGTTTCAGCATCTGGTTTTATTTTTATTTTTTTTTAAATTACAAACTCCAGACACACTTCAGAAAGTTCAAGTGCTCAATGGTCTAAAGCAGGGCTTCCCAAACTTTTATGGGCCGAGACCCACTTTTCAAAACAGTAATTTTTCAAGACCCACTTGCTTTTAATGCATATTTTAAAAAGTAACCACCATGGCAATCAGCTTTAGAGGCATACAACTGGCAAACCATAGCAATCCGCTTTAGATGCACACAATTGGCACACCATGACAATTACTTTTAGAGGCATAAAACTGGCACACCATGGCAAACCGCTTTAGAGGCATACAATTGGCACACCGTGGCAAACCGCTTTAGATGCATACAATTGGCACACTATGGCAATCAGCTTTACAGGAATACAATTGGCACACCAGAGCAATCAGCTTTGCAGGCATACAATTGGAACATTATGTCAGCTTTAGATGCATAAAATTGGCACACTAAAGCAATCCGCTTTATATGCATACAATTGGCATACCATGGCAATCAGCTTTAGATGCATAAAATTGGTACACCATGGCAATCAGTTTTAGATGTATAAACTTGGCACATCATGGCAACTTTAGGTGCATACAATTGGCAATCAGTTTTAGAGGCTTACAATTGGCACACCATGGCAACCAGCTTTAAAGGCATAAATTCAGAACATCGTGGCTATAAGTTTTAGAGGCATAAGATTGGAACATCATGGCAGCTTTAAATATATAAACTTGGCACAGCATGGCAATACGCTTTAGATGCATAAACTTGGCATATCATGGTAATCAATTTTAGATTCATAAACTTGGCACATCATGGCAATCAGCTTCAGAGGCATACAATTGGCATACCATGGCAGTCAGATGCATACAATTGGCACACCATGGCAATCAGTTTTA